GGCATGTGGGATCTTCCCAGACCAGGGCTCGAACCCAGGTCCCCTGCATTGGCAGGCAGATTCTTAACCACTGCGCCACCAGGGAAGCCCCTGAGTCTACTTTTAATAAATTTCCTCTCTCCTGCCTCACTGTCAAGATGTCAGTACGTTATTAATTACTGTCATCAGTGTGCCCGCATCTAATGACCATCACACCCTTCCCACTACCACCATTCTAACTTGCTATTATTTGCTGTGTCCTGAGACAAGAGAGAACCGAGCTAATTACAACAGTATGCACAAGTACACAGTACTATATTTAAAATGGATAGGGACTTCCCTGGTGGGGAAGGATCCCACATGCCGCGGAGCGACTAAGCCCATGCACCACAACTACTGAGCCTGCGCTCTAGAGCCTGTGAGCCACAACTACTGAGCCCATGTGCCACAACTACTGAAGCCTGTGCACCCTACAGCCCGTGCTCTACAACAAGAGAAGCCACCGCAATGAGAAGCCTGCGCACCACAACAAAGAGTAGCCCCCGATCCCCGCAACTAGAGAAAGTCCACGTGCAGCAACAAAGACCCAACGCAGCCAAAAATAAATAAATAAAATAAATAAATAAAATAAAATGGATAACCAACAAGGACCTACTATACAGCACAAGAAACTCTGCTCAATATTATGTAACAACCTAAATGGGGCAAGAATTTGAAAAAGAATAGATATATGTATATGAATAACTGAATCGCTTTGCTGTACACCTGAAACTAACACAACATTGTTAACAAACTACACTCCAATATAAAATAAAAAGTTGAAAAAAACAAAAAAAAAACAGTATGTAAAACAAAAGTAAACAGCCTCTATGTGAGAGCCTTTCTTATCAGTATAGTACATAAGCTCTTAGTACATGAACTCAGTGATATCAAAATTGGTTACTCATGAGCCTCTTCTTATTAAGTTCTGATTCTTAACTTTATTCCTCATTCTTGACTATGTACAGTTCCTAATTCTTTATTCCTGATTCTACATAGTTATACTTAAACTATTATCTCATCAGGAAACAATTATTCCTTCACATCTGCCTCTCTAACTAGATTATTAACTGCATGAGTTCAGGGGCCACGTTTTATTCATCTTCGTACCCTAGCGCCTAGCACAGTCACACACACAGCAAGCTCTCAACAGATGTTTGCTTCCTAAATGACTCATGTAGGCAGCCATGAGTGAAGTTTAAGGACACCTGGTAATTTGTGGCCATATGCACATAACATTTCATTAAAGAACAAGGAGCTCTAGGCTATATGGCTGCTGGCTGCTCAGCCAGAGCATTACAGGGTGTGAGGATTTTGTTAAGCTCATTACACAGGCACAGTCTGTGTGTTCCTTAGCTCTGTGGCTAACTTGTTTCACTTAATTCAGCATAAGTATTTATTGAATCTGGCCACCTGAGTTTAGTGGTAGATAAGAACTATCAGATCACTCTACCTCCCAGTATCCCTCAGATGCATTTACTTCTCTTCATCATCATTGCTGCCACCCAAGTCTAGGCCGCCATCATCTCTCTGCTGGAGGATTCCAATTCATTCTCCACCATGCCATCAAAATGACCTTTCTGTAAAAAGCATTTCTGATCATATCACTCTTCAAAGCCTTTCAAAGTCTTCTCTCTGCCCTTAAGATAAAGTCTAAACCCCCTAAAATGGCTTAATAGGCCCAGCCTGATCTACCTCTCCAGCTATATAGATCACCGCTCACTGCCTAGCAGTCTTTACTCTAGCCATATTATCCTACATAGAATTCCATAATTAGACCATGCTATGTTCCAGTGAGAAACTGTGCTCAGGTATGTCAAGAAAATCTCAATAAGCATTTAAAAAACTCAAATTATGGGCTCAGTTTTCCAAAGCTACAGGCTTCTTAACACCAACTGTTGACAACTCTAGTCATCTATCTAAATAAGTGTTCCCTCTTCGAAAAGGAAGAAAGAAAAATACAAAGGAATAGTGCTGCTAGATGAGAAAAGTTTGAAAATATAAACTTCTTGAGAAAAAGTACCAAGTCTCCATGCCCTAGTTCCTATCACCCAGCACATAGTAGCTGCTCAATAAATGTTTGTTGAATGAATGAATGAATGAATGACCAAAGTGAATAGGAAATGAGAAATTCTGGGGACAGAACAACCCAGAAATATTAAGGGGAGGAGGTATGTGTCCCAATTCTGACCAAAAAGATTCAAGGAAAGGGTTGCTAGAGGTTTCCAGGAAGGGTCTTCACTCTTATAAGAAAGCATGCAAGACCCATTTCTCTCCTGCAGGACATGAGTGAGGATGCAGGTAGCCCTGGCTGCTATTATGCAACCATTTAGTAAGCTGACAAAATGGGCAACTGAGACAGAGACTCCCATCCTGACAGCCAATGTTGAACTTGTGGTCCCTCTATCCCTGGACTTCTTGTTATGTGAGCCAATAAACTTTGTTATTATTTAAGTTGGTCTGACTGCTTGCAGCCCAAAGCCTCCTAACTGATACTTTCTGGGAAGCAATAAAGAGAAAATTATGTTGAAGATGATGAACACATGTCATCATTTCATTCTGTAGCCTAATCAGAAACTAACCTTTAAAAAATAGCAACTTCTATGCAACTGGTAAGGCATTAAAACTATATCAAATAATTCAAATATATTTTCTGTGAAAAAAGGTATTCAGTTCTCACTGAACTAACAGGAGAGTAGACTCTACAGAAGAAAATACTAATGAACCGGAAGGCACGGCAATATATTAATAAAATATCCAGAAAAAACAGAGAGAAAAAAGACTGAAAAAAAAAAGAAATGAATAGAGCATCAGTGGGCTGTAAGAAAACGTCACACGGCTCAGTATGTCACTGGAGACACCAAAGGAAAAGTGGGAGAGGATAGAAAAATATTTGAAGAAATAATGGTTAAAATTTTTCCAAATTTGATGAAAAATTACAATCCATAGATCCAAGAATCAACAAATCACAAACATAAGAATCATGAAAAGGGAATTCCCTGGTGGTCCAGTGGTTAAGACTTTGCCTTCCAATGCAGGGGGTGTGGGTTCGATCCCTCGTCTGGGAGCTAAGGTCCCACATGCCTCAGGGCCAAAAAACCAAAATATAAAACAGAAACGATATTGTAACAAATTCAATAAAGACTTTAAAAATGGTCCACATCAAAAAAATCTTTAGGGCTTCCCTGGTGGCGTGGTGGTTAAGAATCTGCCTGCCAGTGTAGGGGACATGGGTTTGAGCCCTGGTCCAGGAAGACCCCACATGCCATGGAGCAACTAAGTCTGTGTGTCACAACTACTGAACCTGCACTCTGGAGCCCGTGAGCCACAACTACTGAGCCCACATGCCACAACTACTGAAGCCCACGTGCCTAGAGCCCATGTTCCACAACAAGACAAGCCACTGCAATGAGAAGCCTGTGCACCCCAATGAAGAGTAGCCCCCACTCGCCACAACCAGAGAAAAGCCTGTGCGCAGCAACAAAGACCCAACACAACCAAAAATAAAATAAAATAAATAAATTTTAAAAAATAAAAATAATTTTTAAAAAAATCTTTAAAAAAGAAAAAAGAATCATGAAGAAAACTACACCAAGGCACATCATAATCAAATTGTTTAAAACCAGTGATAAAGAGAAAACCTTAAAAGCAGCCAGAGGAAGACATATTATGTACAGAGAGAACAAAGATAAAAATGACAGCAGACTTCTCCTAAGACAAGCCAGAAGACAGTGAAGCATCATCTGTAAAGTAATGAAAGATGAAAACGATCAACCTAGAGTTCCCTACTCAGTGAACATTTCTTTTAAAGGGAAAACAAAATAAAGACTTTTCCAGTCACATAAAAGTTTAAAGAATTCACCAACCACAAACTCACACTACTAGAAATGTTAAAGGAAGACCTTTAGGCAAAAGGAAAATGATACCAGATGGAAATATGAAATCTACACAAAGGAATGAAGAGGCCCAGAAATGGTAAATATACAAGCCTTTTTTTCTTATTTTTAAAAACCTCTTTAAAAAATAATTGAATGCTTAAAGCAAAAATAATAACACATGGTGGAGCTTGTAACATATGTAGAAGTAAAAGATATGACAACAATAGCACCAAGGCCAAGGGGAAAGAGAGGAATGAAAGTACACTGTTGTTAGGTTCTTACACTGTGTGTGAAGAGGTATAATATTACTTGAAGTAATAAGTTAAAGATGTATACTCTAAACCCTAAAGCAACCACTGAAAAAATAAAAACAGAGTTATATCTAATAAGCCAAGAAAGGGGCTAAAATGGAATCATAAAAAATGTACTCAATTCAAAAGAAGGGAAAAAAAGAGGAAAGACAAACAAAGAACAGATGTGACAAGCAGAAAACAAATAGCAAGACAGATTAAAATCTAAACAATTGATAAATGTAAATAGCCTGAAGGGCCCAAATAAAAGGCAGACATTGCCAGATTGGGTAGAAAGAAAGACTCAACTAAACTCTGCCTACAAGAAGCTCACTTTAAACATAAAGACACAAATAGGCTAAAACTAAAAGAATGGAAAAACATCTATCATGCTAACACTGACACAAGAAAGCTGAAGTTGCTATTGATATACTAATACCAGACTAGTAGATTTCAGAGCAAAGAATATAGTCAGAGATAAACAGAGTCATTTAATAATGATAAAAGGGTCAATTCATCAAGAGTACATAACAATCCTAAACATTTATGCACCCAGTAAGTCAGCCCACCAAGACAAAAAAAACAGAAAGATGTCTTTCATGGTTAAAATGCAGCAACAGCATTCCTGAATCAAAACTGAACATTGCCTAAATGGGGCTTAAGATCTTCTTTATGTAATAAGTGGCATGCAGTTTTACTAATAAAAGTGCGGTATTCCCCAAAAGAGTCAAAGGTGGTAGTGTGTTAAACAGCTTATCAAAATATTTATGACTTCAACACCAAAGCCAATCGAAGTGATGTAAAGCTGACTCACCTTTCATATTGCCTGTCTCGTGGTAATGAAGCACCCCAATGTCTAAAGTCCATGATTAACATAAGCAAAAGGAGACAGGATATGAAGAAGAGTCCTAGGAATGCCACCCGCTGCCGGGGAAATGGGCTCACTGTGGGCACAATGAAGTACCAGGAGGCTGGGCAGAGGTAGGAAAAACTGATCCTGAAATGAGACAAACATTAGTAAGAAAAGTCTCTACAATCCAGTGCTAAAAAATGGTTTTTAAGCTGAATTAAAGCGCTTCCTGATAAAGGCAAAAAATTTATGCCCCTAGAAGTCTAAATGTTCATTTAGTCTCGAATTTTAGAAAAGGACATATATAGTTCATGGAGCTTCTACTATATAAATAAAAAAAGGCTTCTCTGCTCTTTTTTCAGAGTGCACTTTGGGATGCAGTTCAAAGAACCAACTTCATGTTAATGAAAAGATCACCAGTCTCCCTGTGCAATCTCATAACGCTGAAGAATCAGAGCACTTGTAACATTCCCATCAAGAATGCTGTCAAAAAAACTGGATAGTCAGAAAATTTATTCAACCGATTTTTAAAAATATTTTAATAGGTAACATACGCACACAATAAAAAAAAAATCAAACAGTTTAAAGGATATATAGTGGAAAGTGAGTCTTGTGCCTTAACCCCATCATTTCCCTCTCAGAGGCAACCACTGTTACCCAGGGATATTCTTGTATACACAAGCATAAACACATACCATATAGGTAATATATCTGTGTGTGTGTCTGTGTGTGTATCTCCATTCCTTTGGTTTTACACCATACCTACTGTTCTGCATCTTTCTCCACTTACTCTATTTGACAACTGTCTCATTTGGTACCTGTTGCTCCACAGATCCACATTAATCTTTTCTGAAAGCTTCAGAGTGTTATAATGTATGGATAAGCATACTCAACTGTCAAGTTCACTTTCCATAGTAATTCAGAAGGACCTCGGTCTGTTTTCAAAGTTCATTAAAAAAATTTTTTTTGTTTTGTTTTTGTTTTTTTGGTTTTTTTTAACCTCCTCAAGGGGCACCTAGCTTCACTCAAGTGGAAATTTGAAAGAACATTACAATCTACAACTTACCAGAGCTGAGCAAGCACTCACTCTATCACCCCGGGGGCTCTGGGCTGTAAGGTATTGTTGACTCTGCCTTCAAAAGAATGCAGCTTTGATCTTTGCATCCATCTGACCAGGCTGCGAAGTCCATATGCAGCCCTAGAGCAAACCTCACTCGTAACAGTCTCCCAGCCACCCCCCACCGAGCTCCCAGCTGAGGATAAAGTCTGCAACCTTACCTAGCCATGGGTTCCCTTCAGTGGTCTCAAGGCCTGTCACCTCCTTTTCCTTTTGCCTTGAGAAGGTGGTCTCCTCGTCCCAGTCATCTCCGAAGTCTGCAGCCTGGAAAGAGCTGGTTGGGGTTCCGGCTCACCTCCAGCAGTACCCACGAGACTAGACCCCATACCCCACCACGAGAAGCTCATGGCGTCCACCCACTCCCCAGGCTCCCACTCCAGATCCGTATGCTCTTGTTCCTGGGGCTCAGTGGACCCTACCCAGGCTCCCTGGGTGCGGGGTATTCTAGAGGGCCAGCGACATCCTCGAGGAACCCGCGGTCCGTCCCTCCCGGCCCCGCAGCCCTCCCGAGCTCACACTCACGGGTCAAGCGGCCCGCCGGCTCCCTCAGCTCCGCTCTGCTAGGTCCGGAGGTGCTCCCCGCGGCCTCTAACCGAGCCGGAAGGAGGCCTGGGCCGCCGGCGGCGCCACGTCCCCAAGGAAACCGCAGGGAGCCAATGACTGACAGGGGACCCGCGGAGAGGGGCCCGCCTTCCGCCCAGCTGGGGCCGCGGGCGAACCAGCTCCGTCGGCCGCACGTCGGTCCGCCAGGGTGGCCAGTCCCCTAGAGCGCTAGGCCTTAATGCCCGCCCCGGGATTTCGAGCGCGTCCAATCCGGAAGGGCGTCGTGCGGGGCTCCGCCTGGTGGGGCCGGCTGTGGCTCACAGGTGAGCAGTACGGAGCGGCGCCCAGGTACCTTGCGGCTGCTACCCTCTCGGTGGCGCTAGTTCTCTGCTGGCTGTTTTCTCTGCGGTCGTTTTCAGGACGGAGCGGCTCGGGTGCGTGGGTCTCGGGGTGTTCGCGACACAAGTGCATCCCTTGCCTAAAGCCAGTCGGAGGTTTTGTGTCCACAAATCCTGCCCTGCAGAATGGCAGTTCTCCCACCACAAACCTTCCCTACAGCCTCCCAAACAGATGCCCCGGATCCACTGTGTTGTCCCATGAGAAAAAAACACAAGTTGGGGGGTAATGACGACTACACCGCAGCGCTTATATCCATTCATTCAACATTCATTTAATGTCTACTGTGAGCCAAACATTAAGAGCGGCTGTGTCCCTGCCCTCCCGGACCTTAACGGTGATACACAAAAGGTAATGTTTCCTGAATGTTGTTTTTGTACCTTGCTTTCACCAGCCCCTTCTCTCATGTCCAGGCGGGAGCCGCTTGGACAGGGTGAAATCCAAGTCCTTACAAACTTGGCACACACATGGCCGTCCACGACCTGCCCACGCAGCATCTGCGGCTGCTCCGCACCTCCCTTATCATGCTCCAGCAACGCACCTCTGTGGTTTCTGCCCTCTTGGGCTTTGCTCACTCTGCCTCCTCCACCCCTCCCCTCCACCTGCCTTGAGTATCCTTCCCTGCCTCTTTACCGGGTCAACTCGTCCTCAACCCTTACCACTCGATTTAAGGGTCACTTCCCCTAAAAGCCTTACTTGATCTACACCTCCTTTATATGTTGTTTCACTTACCACATTGAATTACAATTATATTTACGTATCTGTCTATCCCAGTAGGCAGAATATCCTTGAGGGCAAGGACTATCTGCTTGCATAGCAATGTTGGGTACTGCCTGGCACATAAAATACAACTAATATATGATAAATATGTGAATGAATGACTGTGGAAATAAATGAAGACCACCCAAATGAGAACAAAGAGGCTATTTATTCTATGCCTGCTATAACAGGGCAGTCAACCACTATCACTTGGCATCTGGCAGAGAATCAAAGGCTGTCAAGGGAGTGGGGAAGTTTAAGGTGGAAAAACAAAAAGGGAAGATTTCATGTATGCACCGAATGGCATGGGGAAGCTGGAGGCAGGCTAACTAGAAGCCAGGCATCTAATGTGATTGTTTTGGGGGAGCATATTTGACCTTCACCAGTTGGTCCTGAGTTGGAAGGGCAGGGGCAAAAATTAGGGAAGCTGACAGTTATTGACCAGTCATGAGGGTTCTGGGCTGATTGCTGCAGAGGCTGTGGGTCAGAGTTTTAATTGTCATATATGGTCTGGCCATTCTAGTTTGCGTATTCAGTCTCTCATGACTGTTTCTTTTTTCCTCCATTACCCTCCCAACCTTGTTGGGTTTCCTAGGTTGCTTTTCTCCTGCAATTCTCAATTTTCTTTTTTCCCTCAGTCCCTGCTTCAAGTGTTATATTTTATCCAGGCCCCAGAAACCACATCGAGTATAATAGTTGCATAAACTTAGGATTAACCACAAAAAATTACAAAATACCAGGTGATTTTATTCTAGAGCCCAGTTCAGTGCCTGGAACAAGGTAGACATAGGAAAAGCTCAACAAATGTTTTGGCTTTGTTTTTTAAATTCTTGAAGTTGCCTGCCAACTGTGCAGTTCTAAATCTAATCTATGTATATTTCAAACTCCAGTGTTCCACTAAATGAGTGTTTTTGAGTGGAAATAAAATTCCTATTTATGTTTTAAATAGTACTTGTTTCATATGGTTTATGAACTATATTAACTTAGAACTTGAAGGTGCATTGAAACATCTAATTTATATTTTGTAACTACTGTTATAAAACAGAAAAGAAACCTACATTTTAATCCCAACACTTTCGCATTATACCTTCTTTGTCCATCTGGTTTGGACAATAATTCCTTCAATCACTCCATATGCTCTCAGGCATGGTAAAGCCTGCAGTGCTTATCTGATTAACAGCCTACAGGGCTAAGTTCTGAGGTTTCCAGTTAGGAGGCCAAAAAAAATGGGTTGAGATCATTTCTCCATCTCATTTGCTGTAATTCAACATGTTGAAACAAATTACAGAAATCCATATTTCAAAACAGGTTTTTAACTGCTTTTTAAAGGCCTGTCTACAATTACATTTGCAATTTTCTCAAGGCATCCTTGACTCTACCCACCCTGAGCAAAATCAGTCAAACCAGTCCCACACTAGGTGTCCATTGTCTGCATCGCTTTATTTCTCCTCATCAATTCTCCTTCATTCCACACTCCATCCTGCCCTAACCTCTAATGGAATTTAATGTGGTCTTTGCTCTCCCCTCCAAGTTTACTGATCTCTCTTCATGTGTCCTGTAGGTACCTCACTGTCGAAGACCAAATTCACTGTCTCTCCATTCTCACCTTATCCACCCAAACCTCCTCCATGCATATTCCCAACTTTGACAAAATACCCTGTGATTCACCCAAGCAGGTATCTGCAAGTTATTTTTTTTTAATTTTTTAAATAGATCTTTATTGGAGTATAATTGCTTCACAATACTGTGTTAGTTTTTGTTGTACAGCAAAATAAATCAGCCATATGCATACATATATCCCCATATCCCCTCCTTCTTGACCCTCCCTCCACCCTCCCTATCCCACCCCTCTAGGTCGTTTCAAAGCACCGAGCTGATCTCCCTGTGCTATGCGGCTGCTTCCCACTAGCTATTTTACATTTGGTAGTGTATATATGTCAATGCTACTCTCACTTTGCCCCAGCTCCCCCCTCCCCGCCACTGTGTCCTCAAGTCCATTCTCTATGTCTACATCTTTATTCCTGCCCTGCCACTAGGTTCATCAGTACCATTTTTTATTTTTCAGATTCCATAAATATGCGTTAGCATACGGTATTTGTTTTGCTTTCTGACTTCACTCTGTACGACAGACTCTAGGTCCATCCACCTCACTACGAATAGCTCAATTTCGTTTCTTTTTTTTTTTTTTTTTTTTTTTTTTTGCGGTATGCGGGCCTCTCACTATTGTGGCCTCTCCCATTGTGGAGCACAGGCTCCGGACGCGCAGGCTCAGTGGCCATGGCTCACGTGCCCAGCCGCTCTGCAGCATGTGGGATCTTCCCGGACCAGGGCACAAACCCGTGTCCCCTGCAACGGCAGGCGGACTTTCAACCACTGTGCCACCAGGGAAGCCCCAATTTCGTTTCTTTTTATGGCTCAGTAATATTCCATTGTATATACATGCCACATCTTCTTTATTCATTCATCTGTTGATGGACATTTAGCTTGGTTCCATGTCCTGGCTATTGTAAACAGTGCTGCAATGAGCATTGTGGTACATGTCTCTTTTTGAATTATGGTTTTCTCAGGGTATATGCCCAGTAGTGGGATTGCTGGGTCATATGGTAGTTCTATTTTTAGTTTTTTAAGGAACCTCCATACTGTTCTCCATAGTGGCTGTATCAACTTACATTTCCACCAACAGTGCAGGAGGGTTCCCTTATCACCACACCCTTTCCAACATTGTTCCTAGATTTTTTGATAATGGCCATTCTGACCGGTGTGAGGTGATACCTCATTGTAGTTTTGATTCTAATAGTGATGTTGAGCATCTTTTCATGTGTCTCTTGGCCATCTGTATGTCTTCTTTGGTGAAATGTCTATTTAGGTCTTCTACCCATTTTTTAACTGGATTGTTTGTTTTTTTTGATATTGAGCTCCATGAGCTGTTTGTATATTTTGGAGATTAATCCTTCGTCCGTTGTTTCATTTGCAAATATTTTCTCCCATTCTGAGGGTTGTCTTTTCATCTTGTTTATGGTTTCCTTTGCTGTGCAAAAGCTTTTCAGTTTAATTAGGTCCCTTTTGTTTACTTTTGTTTTTATTTTCATTACTCTAGGAGGTGGGTCAAGAAAGATCTTGCTGTGGTTTATGTCAAAGAGTGTTTTTCCTATGTTTTCCTCTAAGAGTTTTAGAGTGTCTGGTCTTACATTTAGGTCAATCCATTTGGAGTTTATTTTTGTGTATGGTGTTAGGTAGTGTTCTAATTTCATTCTTTGACATGTAGCTGTCTAGTTTACATGCAAGTCATTCTTGAATCTATCCCTTCTACTTCCTTTTCCCATTCCAATTAGTCACTAGGTGTTCTTAATTCAAATGCCTAAAATCCTCTCTAATATCTTCTGATGAAATCTTCTAACTGGTGGCCCTACCTCCAGACCCATGCCCCTCTTGAGTACCCCTCTATTCTGACATAGTGAAATATAATCATGCTATTTCCTGTTTTAAAATCTTCTGTGGTTTCCCATCCCAGTGGGAGATAGTTCAAATTCCTTGGCATGGTGTGGCAGATTCTGCTGACTGCCTAGCCAAAACGCCAACGATCTCTCTTCCACCTTGTTAACAGAATCCCAATTTTATTCTAGTAACCACACTGCTATGCTTCACCATGTGCTTCAAGAGTGCTAGCTCCCACCTCAGCCCTAGGGAGTAAACTGTGACTGGTCTATATCAATCACGGTGGCCTATTCCCTTACCAAATACTGAGCCTGGGCATATGATGCAATTCTAGCCAATGATACTAAAGGGAAGTCAGCTGTTGGGAGGAATGGGAGGAGGAGGGAAGACATTTCTGGGAAAGGCTTTCTCCATCTTAAAAGGAGTATGTCAATCAAAAGTTTACATAATGAGAGAGAAGAAAAGGCCCCTTTTCTACCTCCAGAAGTAATCTTAAGGGTACCTGGAGCTGCTTTAGTCATCTTACAACCACGGGGGTAGGGTTGGGGTGGGGGATAGGGGACAAGCCTGGGAATAACAGAATAGAAATATGGAAAAAACCTGGGTCCTTGATAACATCATTAAGCTGTGAAGGTAACCAACATGGGAGCAGCCCTACTTACGGACTTATTATTTGAGATACTAAATTCATTATTGTTCTTATTTTTAAGTCAGTTGAATCAGGGGATTCTGTTAGCTTTGGTCTCCTAACTGATATATGTGGCTTACAATGCCTGATATGATCTAGCCCCCAACATCAACCAAGCTCCTCAACAGGTATTCTCATGCACAACCCTGACATATTTACAGGTCTCAGAATTATGCCTTTTCTTACCTCTGAGCCCTTGTACTTGTTATTACTTCTGTTTAAATGACTTTCTTTCACTTCTCTACCAAATGAACTCCTACTTATCCTTCCAAACTCAGCTCAAATGTCACCTTCTCTCTATGAGCTCCCCCAGTCAGCTTAGGTGCTTCCTCTCTGCTCTTGTAGCACTTCGCTCACGCATTCTTCTATTAGGGCAAGAATACTTGTTTTAAAAGCTGGCAGCTGTTTGAGTGGACCTGGTACCAGCTGGCCAGGTAGGAAGACAGAATATCTAGGTTTTGGACCATAATGGGTATGTTTGGTCAGGGAGAGTGGGATCCCCTGGGCTTAGTCTAGATGGGAGAGGTTTAGACCAAGAAGACTTCAATTACTCTCCAAATAAAATACAGGAATTTTGAGCATTCCCTCTAGA